TTATTAACATAAATATTTTTATTCGTAAATTAAAACTAATCTCACTGAAAATTTATTTTTTGAATAAATATTATACATTTAAAAAAAAAAACTATTTAGAATTCTAGTATTTTATTATTATTATTATTATGTTTTTTTTTTCTTTGTGATGTAAACATTTCCTCTCTTTTTAATAACGCATGCCAATTTTCCAATCATATTTTTTATTTAAAAATAAAATTAATTATTATTATTATTTGTTTTTTTTTTGTAACAATTTTGTTGTTAGTGAGTAGAGTGATGGCCATAAATAATAATAATTTCCTTATCTATATGAATTTTCCTTTTTTTTTAAATTAAATTAAATTAAATTGAGATATTAAGTGTGTGTGTGTGTGTGTGGTAACTCTAATATAACCATTTTTTTTTTTTTTTAAAATTATGTAGCATTTTGAAAATATTACGAAAACAAATAAAAAATTTACTTAATTAATTAATTAAAAATCAATCAATCAATCAATCAATATAGATAAGAAATTTTATAAAGCAATACATGGTAAAAAATAAATTTATTAATTCATTTCTTTTTTCTTCAAATAATTCATCATATATATATATATATATATATATAACAAAAAAAAAAAATTTTTTTTTTTTTTTTTTTATATATACATAATATGGATACCAAAAAATATCTCATTTCCTTGATAAGTTATTATTATTATTATTTAATGTTCGATAGTGATTTTTATGATTTTTTCCTTTTGTAAAAGCCAATTAATTATTTTTGATAAACATTCGCATAACTTTGTTTACATTTATTTTAATAAACTAATACAATAAATTAAAAGAAAAGTATTATTATTTTTTTTTTTTTTTATTGAAAGACAAATATTGTAAAATACTAAGCCTTTCTTCTATTTATAAAATATATATATATTTATATATATATATATATATTTATATATATATATATATATATATATATATATATATATATATATATATATATATATATATATATATATGTATGTACCTAATAATAATAATGACTTTATTAAAAAAATATTGTTAAAAACACTTAATATTATTTAATTAAGTTTAAGGGCAAGAACACTTTCTTTCTTTCTTTTAATTAAAATGTAAACATCTAATAAAAAAAAAAAAAATTTTTTTTTAATTTTATGTATAACAAAAAAAAAAAAAAAAATTATTTTCTTAACACTTTTTTATTAAAGGTGCTCGTTAATATGCTAAAACATTTGATGTTATTTCTTTACAATTTTTTTTTATTTTTATATATATATATATATGTATAGTGTTTAGAACTTTTAATTTATGACCAACACTCTTGAAATTTTAAAAAACAAAAGAACCCATTTTATTTTTTTTTGTTTTTTTTTTTTTTAAATTTTGATATAGAAACAGCCCTTTTTTTTTTATTTTATTTTATTATTTTTTTTTTTTAATTAAATTAAATTAAATTTATATTTATTTAACTAGAAAACTATAATCGAAAACATTGCAATGTTTTTTTTTTTTTTAATTAAATTTGCAAAGCTTAGTATTTGGGAATTAATAGAGGTCTTGAAAAAAAAAAAAAAAAAAAGTAGTGGTGGTAATAATAAATTGATGACATTTTCATATGCTTTGCTTTGAAAGAAATTGACATTTGCTCCCCTTATTTTTTTTAAAAAAAAAAAAAAAAGAAAAAAAAAAAGAAAAGAAAAAGAAATGAAAAAAAAAAAAAAAAAAAAAAAAAAAGAAATAAAGAAAAAAAGGTAAAAAAAAAAAAAAAATTTTTTTAATATAATAAAATAAGACTGGATTTTAAGCCATGTTGGATGTAGACTGCTCGGCGGCGTTTGCTGTTTCCGACATGGGAGCTCCGGTCTCTCCTTGCGCTGTAGAATTTTCTGCTTGATTTACAGGTACCGAAGTGGATACTGATGAATCTGCTACGTGCCTTGGCAGTAAAATTGAATTTAATGATGGTTGAATTGTTAACTCTACATAAAAATCAATAAAAATTAACTTTTATAACGTTGATACGCAGCTCTTAATTCTCTTTAAAATATATACTTATTAAATATAGCAGACATTATTTCTAATTAAAAAAATTATTTCAATTTTTACCGTGTTCTGTAAAATTAAATAAAGGTGGAAGTTCTCGACCATTGGGGAGGCGAGTTTGAGTTTCCCTAAGCTCATCAAAGAATGAATGAGCGCAAGCTTGCAATGGATTAAGTCTCAACGATGGAGTGTAATCCAAAAGTAATGAAACAAGTTCAATTGCTTCTTGCGGAGTTCTTGCTCGAAACACCTGAAAGTAATTTTTTTTATATTATTAAGGGGGAAATTTTCAAAAAAAAAAATCTCCAATGTTTACAAAAAAAAAACACTTTTTTTCAAAATATTTTTTATTTAAAAAAAAAAAAAAAAAACTGAACTGTGGTACGGTACAACAAAGCAATTCAAACAAAATGGTTTTATTACCACTGTTATTTTTTAAATTAAATAATTAATGGCTTAAATGTCATATATTAATTCTTTGTTAAATAACAATATATTTATATACATATATGTCATTTTTTTTTAATGGTACTGTTCTATAGAATAAAATATTAAAATATAATAATAGAAAAATTGAAAAAAAAATTATTCTAAAGTAATAACGAATATTTATCTTATTTTTTTTTTGTACTGTCTTTTATCTTACGATTCTGAGAGCTATAAAATAATTAAAGATGCAGATGAATGTATTTTTTCTGTCGTGTGACTTACGTGATATTTACGATATACAAATAAGTAGTAGATATTTATATGGAAATTTAAAATTTCTGAAATTAAAAAGCGCAATTTAAATTATAAAAATTATTGCAATACATTTAATACATAAAAAAATAAAAATTCAAATTTGATAATCAGATTTTAAAAAATAAATCTACTTCATTAGAATTTTTTTTTTTTTTTTTTTTGAAGAATCTTAGTTTTTTTTTTAGCATCAAATGAAAAACTTTCTAAAAAATATTTTAACTCGATTGGAGATTGTCATAGAAAAAAAAAAAAAAAAAAATTTTAGTATTAAAACAACAAATAAAGATATTTGAAAGATTAAATAATGCAATATTGAATGCGACAAAAATTTAGTTTCGACGTTTTTATTAAAGTTATATGTGTCCAGCAAACAAAATTTACACAAAATGTGTAGATTATATAAAATTAAAGTAAGCAAGTTGTCATTTTTTTTTTTTTTTAGTTTTTTTGCACACAAATTGTGTAACAAATAAAAACACACCCCCCCAGACAATAGAGGAAAACTTACTCTAATTTTCTGATGCTGTGTTGAACTTTTAGGAAAAGACATTCTTTCAAGCGCGAACTGCAAGGGAAAATATCCCGAGTCCAGGTCTCGCTCTTTAATTTTTTTTTTTTTTTTTTTTTTTTTTTTTAAAGCTATCAAATAATTATTTTTTATAAACCTTACCCCCGACGCCATTAATGATAATTGATTAAATAGAACTATTAAAATAAAATAAAGGGTTATAATCTTACCTTTAACCACGGATGACATTTTATTTGGGGAAATTTAAACTCTGTGTAGTTAGGATTCATTTCACGAATTTGCTCCCTGGTAGGAGTGCCTAAAACTTTGATAATTTCGACCAATTGGTCCACACCTGAGTCTCCCGGAAATATTGGCTGACCTAACAAAAGTTCAGCCAACACGCATCCAGCACTCCAAACATCTAAAAAAAAAAAAAAAAAAAAAATTTTTAAATAATAATTTTCAATGATTTTTCCCTTAGTAAAAACAAGAAAAAATTAGAAATTAATTTTCATTGCAAAAAACCAACCGATTTTAGTAGTATAATCAATTGCACCGAATATTAATTCAGGAGCTCTATAGTAACGAGAACATATGTACGATACATTTGGTTCTCCTTTAATAAGGTGCTTAGCTGATCCGAAGTCGCAAAGTTTTAAAACGCCGGTATCGGGATCAAGGAGCAAGTTTTGCGGCTTAATATCTCGGTGGCATATTCCCAATGAATGTATGTACGCTAATGACCGAAACAATTGATACATGTATAGCTGAAAACATGTGTAAAATTGTAACAACTATTTTTTTTTTTTTTTTTTTTTTTTTTATAATTACACGTCGTTGAGAACAACCTTTATAAAACTAATAGGTATTGTTTGCTTTGATTTGTTATAATGCCTCGCTACTTTATAAACTGTCTCTGGTATGTATTCCAGAACCAAATTCAAATATACATCATCTTTCCTTTCCCCGCTCGAATAAAAAAAGTATTTGAGTTTAACTATATTACAATGTTCCAATCTTCTCATTATTTGAAGTTCTCGATTCTAGAAAAAAAAAATAATAATAATAATAATAGTAACAAATGTGAAAATAATTTCTAATTTTTAATTTCAAAATGAGATATAAACTTTACGTAACCTTAAAAAAGTCAAAATGAAGTGAAATGATTTTAAATTTGTCAAATACCTTAAACCTTTTATCCTGTAAAACTTTTTTTATAGCTACGAGTTCGCCTGAGTCGCATAGTTTTGCTTGATAAACTACACCAAACGATCCATTTCCAATAACTTTAGTGTCCATATAAGAAATTTCTTGGGGTCCATCAGGACCTTGCCCGGGAGTTGCAACTACTGTTGTTATCTTACTGCCATCTTTGCCTATGTCAAAAATAAATCCACAATTATTTTCTAAAAATACCCCTTTTAAAATTAATTTAAAATAATATTCCATATACACAAAAAAAAAGGAAACGATTGTAATAATAATTATAGAAAAATACTTTTTTGTCCCTTTTAGTAAGAGCACTTAGAACACAGGAAAGAAATTTTTTTATAACGTCAAATCAATTACATACGAAATAAGAAAAAAGGGTAACAAAAATTTAAACAAAAAAGTTAAAACAATAGTGGAAAAAATACATAATAATTTTTTTTAAAGTGGATTTTATCCATTTAAACACCAATACATTATATTCAAATATGAAAAGTGTAAGAAGAAGAATAATAACACAAACAAATAATTAATTGGAGGAATTAATTTAAGAGTATAATTTAATAACTAAAATAAACTTAAAACATTTAACTCGAGTAATTAAAAAATAAAAAAAAATTTTTTTTTTGTTGATATTCTCACGAAAATTTGCATAAAAACATTTTTGTAAACGAGTCTATTTATTATACTGCAATACCTATAAAATGATTTTATAAATAAAAAAATATGTTTTGTAGTAATTATTGATAGGTAGGCCAGCATTATCAAAAAAGTAATTATTTACACTAAATATATCTTTGAAGATATATTTAAATGTTTCATTTTAAATAATTTAAATGAAGATAAATTTTAAATGTTTCATAAATAAAATACTTTATAAATGCGCACACTAATATACTAATGAAACAAGTTACATTATAAAAAAATATAATATAAAAATATAAATGACAATCTGCAACGACACACTTTTCATATAAAAATAATAAATATTTATTTTAATAATTTTTATAAAAATTATTATTATTATTTTCACTTTAAGGAGTAGAAAATGACAACAAATTAAACTTTTCTTTAAAAATATTAGACGAGTATTCAAAAATGTGTGCTTGATAAATTTACAACTGTGTTGGAAATATTTTATAATATAAAGAAAAGGATTAGAAGATTTTTGAACTTGGGAAAAATAAAGAGGTAAAAAATTTAAACATATTTAAAAGTAATAATAATACTAATAATTTTTTTTACCTCTTTAATTAAGTTTTTGTAAATGGATAGGTTCGACCAAGTATTTAAAATTAATTTTGAGCTAGTTTTCTTTTTTAAATAACAATAAGATGTATCCAATAAAAATTTAGAATACTAACCAGCAATAATTATATATTATTTTCTAAGACAGAAATAACTGTCACTCTAAAACAGTTTAAATATCGAAAAAAATTTTTTTTAAATAGTTTTAAATTAAAAATTTTTATTATTATTTACTTAATCGTTTAATCATTTATTTTAAGTGAATAACGTTCAAAAAATAAATTTCTAATCGAATTTTATAATCAGATATTAATTTGAGTAATTTTTTATAAAATAAATTATGTATAATTCTTTTATAATAAAAAATTTAAGAGATAAGAAAAAGCTCAAAATTATTTTAAAGGAAAGAACAGCATGAAAATAGGTATTACAAAAAAAGGTAGCTTTTTGTATAATAAATTTTTTTTTGGAAAAAGCCATGCAGATATGGTAAGAGCAATGGAACAACAGATACTGCACATTTTTATCTATATCATTATTAACTTTACAGTTAATAAAAAAAAAAAAAAAATTATACAGTTTATAATAAATAAAATTTTAAGTGATTTCAAATTTTATACACATTTTTTTTCAGTAGGAAACCTTGCAGTTCAAAATAAACAAGTTACGACTATTACTTATTAACAATTAAATCATTATTTTTTTCATTCGATTCAAATAAAATTTATTTTATATTATTATTTTATTATTTATTTTTAATTAATTATTTTTTTTTTTTTAAAAAGGCAATAGTGTCATTTGAATTCTTCAAAGTCGAAGATAATTTAAAATTCTACACATACTCGCAACAAATTATTATTATTGCTATTATTTTTTTCTTTTTTGAAACTACTTATTTAAATATTTTTTATAATGATTGAAAGTAAAAAATTTACAGCAGTCATATTGTAACTTTAAAAAAAAATTTTTTTTTTTTCAACACCCTAAACTTAAGTAATTGTATTTCTGCTTTGCCTACCATTATTATAATAAGTGCATGGTATATGTAGAACTTCAAAGATATTCAGAACAAAAACATTGCAAAAAAATTGAGCTTGCAAGGATTTCCTACAAGTTTTCAAAAAAAAAAAAAAAAAACTATTCAAATATCGAAATTTTTAATAAAATAAATTCGGTAAGACAAATGTGAAGTATATGTGATATTGTCGGTAGGCCAAAAAAGGGGATTTTTAAAAAGTAAAGTAATGTAAAGTAAAATATAAAAATACGCCGTAAAATCAATTTGCTGAGCTAATTTGGGTTGAATGATGATGTTTTTCGAACGTGTAGTAATAGGGGAGGTAGCAAAAAAAACTTGGTCCAAAGTTGCTATCAATTGAATGACTATTGGCATTGCTTTTTTAATTTTTTTGGCAAAAACATAATTATCCAAGATGTATTATTCGGGGATCTCGTATCTTAAATACATACTTTTCAGAACTTTTCTTGCGGGAATTAAGCTAAATGGCGGCCATTTTGGACATCCGACATAGGCCTACCGACGAACCAAGCTCAATTTTTACTGCACTTACTACTTATTTTCATGCCCCCTAGAGGAGGATTTGGTAGTTGCTTGTTACCCTCTGCAAAGGACGTAGTTCTTGGCCGTCCACTCATTTCTAACGACAGTATGTTCTTTCATAAATGTCCATAAAGTTCATTGAAATATCATACTTCTTGCAAACATCCTTGGCACACGGGTTGAAAATAAGTCCCAAAAAAATCACAATTTTAAATATTTAAAACCCATATATCCTACATTAATAACTTTATATTGAATATGTAAAACACTGTACAATAATTAAATTACGATGTAGAAACTTTAAAGTAAAAAGATATCCATTTTTACATGGTACAAAAACGAGATAATTTTCAGGTCTTTAATAAATTTTTGATGCTTCAGACATTGGCTAACTCGGCAAACATCGTAGCCAATCAAATTTCTTTACGCAAACCCGAAAACACCCGAACATGACGACGTAGATACGTCAGCAACTCTAGCTCTCAATATTTGCTTTTGCGCATGCGTTAATTTTATTGCGCATCAAACGGTATCGCTCTCTAGTGAAATTAAATCAAACTACTTAAAATAAAAAATTAAAGTTTTATTCTAATGGAAAATATGTATGTCTAACTTAGTATAAAAATTAATTTCCTTTAAATTGTAATACTTCAAACAATTTGATAACATGAGAATGATATATTATAATTATTAAGCCATAAATTTAAATAAATGCATATTATTTTTATGAAATATTCAAATAATTTTTTTACATATAATTATTAACAGATAAGGGTAAAAATGATAAAAGTTGACACAGGGAAACAATTTAAATTTTGTAAAATTTGACTGACAGACAAAAAATACATAAAAATTAAGACCCAATTTTCAAATGAGTAATTTATAAAATCCTTTAACTTTGTTCTAGGATTGAATAGAAAAATTAATTCGAATCTATTTTCTACACTTTTGCGTCTACAATAACTTTTTTCTTTTTTCCTTTCTAAACCCTTGTGTCTAAATTTATAATATTAAATTTTATATTACAATTAAAATATTTTAAGATGTATCTCACAAAACGTTTTTCTACCCTAATTTTTTTTTTTAAAAAGAAGTATCAACTAAAGTATAATTAATTAATTAAACTTTGAATTAATTCTATTAAAATAAATTAGTAAATAATTTTAAATTAGTATTTTCAAATTTTCTAAAAAACCTTTTTTAACCCTGACTTTGGCCATTATTTGCATTTTTTATGATGAAAAATAAATCAACTACTATTTACAATAAATTATTTATTTATTAATAAATTTATTAAAAGTTTTCAAACTTTTACGGTTTATTTATTTTTTTAATTTACACGTCGAAATAAAAAATATAAAAACCTGAGCGATTTGAAACTGTCAAAAATAAAAATAAACAAAAATTTTTTTTATTGATATTTTTGCAAATAAAATTAATTCAGTTATTGTAAATATGATAATTGAAAAATCAATAATAGCCAATAAATTTAATACTTTGTTTTTATAAATTTAAAAAAATTAAAATGGTTTCCATAAATTTTAACAAATTACTTCGATTGTATAATTCAATAAAAATGTTTTTTAATAATTTAAATAAAAATTATAAAAATTTTCCAAAGTATAGTACTAACAGTATTAAAAAATATTTCTAATCGAATAATCGATTTGTAAATAATGGGTAGATTTAAATCGAGGACGATTTAATTTCTCCTTCTGCGAACTCGAGATATTCTCCATGCATTCGGTTCTTCATATTTATTATACAAGGGTTCTAATCGTTGATTCTTTTTAAATTTACTCAGCTTAGTCGGGTCTGAAAATTTAAAAAATGCCGGGGCAAATTCAACCAACCATTTAGGATCAATCGTTGTCACTTCCCGCATATATTCCTTCGTGGTTTGAACCAACTCGTGGTAAATAACCCTAAAATATTTTCAAACATTAAACTCGGTTATAAATCTGAGATTTATTATGAAAAGAAATAATGATTTACCATTCCGGTTGTCTGTTAAATAATGCACTGGAAGGATGAATGTAAACAACTTGACTATCGACCAAGGTTCTATAACCTTCCTGTGGATCTTTTTTGGCTGCATTTCTAAAAAAACCTGAACAAACACATTTTTGAACTCTTACGGTATTTTTTCCAGCAGAAACTACATCCAGTTTATGTCTGAAAATAAAAAAAAAAATAAAGTAAACGATTTGTTATTAAAAATTAAAGTTTAAATATTTTTTAAATTAACAATTATTTAGGTAGCTTTCATAATTACCTGTCCATGATACCCAACAATTGCTTTCGCACATCTTGAGCTCTTTTTAACGTTCGAATTTGTACAAAGTTTTCGTAGCACCAAGCATTTGAAAACTTATTGTTTTTCCACGAATTGTAAACAGCCAAAAGAGTTAAATGATCTCCCTCCATTTGGTTAAATTTTGCTTTTTTTTGATCGGCTAATGCTTGTTTATCTTTAGGTCTAAAACAAAATTTCTGTATAACGCTAATTTGCAAATAAATAAATATTTCAATTATTTCAAATTCTTTTTCTACCTGTAAAATACATTTTGAACGCTAAGCATTGAAACGATGGTTAAAATTTCATCCGAACATCCTAAATGAACTGACATAATTAACATTTTAGATAAATTAGGTTCCAACGGGAATTCTGCCATTCTTCTACCCAATCGAGTTAGAAGACCTTCATCATCCAAAGCGCTCAAAGAATGCAATTGTTCGAGAGCCATAATTAAAGACTCTACGGGTGGAGCGTCCATAAAATCGAAATGAAGTAGGTCATTTATACCCATAGTTTTTAACTGTAAAACCTATTAAAATAATTGATGAATTAAATATTTTAATTAAAATAAATTTTTGATGATATCAAATTAAAGAAAATACTTTTTTAAAACTTACGGTTGTGGCGAGATTCGTTCTTTGAATTTCTGGAACAGGAGTGGGAAGCATTTCGTCTCTGTAAGCTCTTTCAACATATAATCTGTAACACTTTCCAGGTCCAGTTCTCCCAGCTCTTCCCGCGCGCTGCTTGGCTTGGGCCTAAATAAAAAATTAACAAAAAAATAAATACAATTCAACACACTGAAACTTATAATTAAAGTAAAATTCAAACCTGAGATATAGGGGTCACTACTAAACTATCCATTCCTGTCTTTGAATTATAAACTTTTTGTTTAACGAATCCAGGGTCGACAACATAATAAATTCCATCAATAGTTAGAGAAGTTTCAGCAATATTCGTAGCAATAACTACTTTACGTGAACCAGGAGGTGCAGGCTCGAAAATTCTGGTTTGCATTTCGCTTGGAAGAGCGGAATACACTGGAAGAATAATGAGCTCGGGCACATCCGGACCCAGCGATTTCATTCTTTCGTATAAAATTTCACAAGCAGTATCGATTTCTTCTTGACCAGTTAAAAAAAGTAAAATATCACCTACAAAATAAATGATTTAAATTTATTAAATTTCATAAAAATGGTATTATTAAAATGAGAATAAAATTTTCCATACCAGGAGGTTCTCGAAGATGAATCTGCATAACAGTAATTAAACTAGCATCCAAGTAATCAGTTTCCGGTTCTTTTGTATACAATACTTCTACCGGAAATGTTCTTCCAGGTATAGTAAAAATAGGAGCCTCGAAAAAATACTGGGAAAATTTAACTGCGTCTAATGTGGCTGAAGTTACAATAAGCTTTAATTCCGGACGTTTTCTCACAGCTTGTTTTAATAAACCGAACAAAACGTCCGTATGAATAGTTCTTTCATGAGCCTCATCTAACATTACGACTGAATAATTTTTCAAGTCCAAATCTACAAGACATTCTCTAAGAAGCATACCGTCCGTCATGTATCTGTTAAAAAATATATATTTAATTAGTAGAATAAAAAAAATTTATAAAAATGTTATTTAAGTAATCAATAAAATTTTTTAATGATTTTACTTAATAACTGTTTCTGGACTGGTACAATCCTCGAAACGAATTGTGTAGCCCACTTCTTGTCCCAAACGGCATCCAAATTCTTCAGCTACACGTTTTGCTACGCTCATAGCTGCAACTCTTCGAGGTTGGGTGCACCCTATTTTACCACGGAACGTAAAACCAGACTCTGCTAAATATTGTGTGATTTGAGTAGTTTTCCCAGAACCCGTTTCTCCAATCACTATTAAAATTTGATTGTCTGTTACAGCCTGAAATGTCAGAGTCATTAAATTTAGGAATTTAAATACTAAAGAAAAAATTTTCTAAATACGATGAGTACAAAGACAAATTACTTTGAAATAATTATTAAAAGTAATATTAACAAATACGAATAATTAAAATTATTAAATAGTAAAAATAAATAATATGCAAAAATCTCAAAAATATAAAACTTTTAAATTACTGGTACCTTAATAAGATCATCTTTAAGTTTAAAAATTGGGAGACTTTCTCTTTGCTCGAGTAATGTCATGTTTGTTTTTTTCCCAAAAGAACTTTTCTTTCCTCCAATGACATGTTTTTTCCACTCTGGTAAATCTTGAGAAATTACTCCAACTCCTCTCATGTTGGCTGTCACTGTTTTGGTATCAGCTAAAACCAAATGTTACAATATTTAAAAATTAGTGAATTCCAGCTTGATATACTTTGCTTCTTTCTAGCAATTCGAGCCTTCTTACCCTCTGGTAATGGATCTATCCAGTTTTTATTTAATGTCTGAGGCATTGAATCCATTTCTTGTTCTCTTTGTAACATTTTTTGTTCCCTTCTTTCTTTTGATAATGCACTTTGCATCATTGCAGCTTGAGCAAGACTACCATCAGGATTTTTAACTATTCTAACAGGACTCAAATCGTGAAGCATTCGACCGTGTCCTTGCAAAAAAGGAGGCTCATCTTCTACCAATTCAATTTCTATATCTTCTTCTTCATCTTCTTCCCTTGGAAGTAAACCTTTAATAGCAAAAAAAAAATTTTATACTTATATATATTATAAAAATATGATATTTTGTGCTTAAAGTCTTAAAACTATTTTAGATACTATTAAAACTTGCCATACAATTTTAATTTTAATTTATAAAAAAAAAGTATTTAAGTAAATTTATTCATAAGTAATTATCAAGAAGTAATAAGTACCGGTTTCCTCATCGAAATCTGGTAATTCACTCCTGTTTATACAGGATGCAGAAATCATTTGCTTTAATTCCCATTTTTCAGGTGAAGATATTCTATGAACTCTTTTTCTACTTTCTCCTTCTTCCTCATCATGATTTCTTTGCAGTTCTAATAAAGATATAGGTCTATCTGGATTTCTGTGAGCAATTTCTTCCTCTTGCTCTCTAAGGCCTTGTGTGATTGGATTTAAATCTTTTCCTGTATCTTGATCAACATCTTTAATCGACAGTGAAACTTTTTGTCCGGTTACTGAAAGAACCTTAACCTGCATAAACAAAAGTCTTATAAGTTTTACAACTAAATTAAAAAATTTTTGTAAAGGAAATTATAGCATTATAGAAAAATACTTTTATGATATACCTTTACTTTTTGACCACGAGATACGACATCAGCAACTGTAGTTATTCTTCCCTCTCTTCTTAACTGAGATATGTGAACTAATCCCTCCCACCTTTTTCTTAAATTTTCTAATTGTACAAAACAGCCAAAAGGAACTATATTAGCTATTTTTCCATTATAAATTTTTCCAACTTCTGGATCACAAGGTAAATCTTTTTCCGGAGTTTTAGATCTACCTCTATGAGTTTGATTTCTAACATTTTCATCTTTAGAGTAAAAATTTCTTTGAAATTTTTTTCTGTCATAACTTGGTGATCTAGACATTTTCCTTCTTTCAAGACTAGATCTTTTTTTTCTATGCAAGCTTCTAGAATGAGATCTGGATCTTCTCCTCTTGTAGTCTTTGTCTTGATGAGAATATCTATCATGTTTTAGTTCTTCATCACTTGTGTACCTTTTTTTTCTGTTTTTACTTTCTCTATTATTTTTTTCAAATTCCTTATTTCTGTCCCTACTACTAAATCTGTTTCTACTTCTGCTTCTACTTCTGTTTCTGTTTCTACTTCTGCTTCTGCTTCTGTTTCTGTTTCTACTTCTGCTTCTGCTTCTACTTTTGTTTCTGTTCCTACTTCTGCTTCTACTTTTGTTTCTGTTCCTACTTCTACTTCTACTTCTGCTCCTGCTTCGACTTCTATTTCTAATTTTAGTTTTTTTATAATTACTTTTGTCATCTTTTGTTGATTCCCTATCTTTTCTTTTATGTTTCCGTTCTGGGCTAAGACTCTTAGCAGGAGAAACATCTTTATTTTCCCTATTGTCACCAAGTTTTGTATTTTCATTTTTAATAAGTTTTTCATCTCTTGATAAATTGTTGATTTCTGCCATCTTAGCAATATTTGATGGCGCCAGAGATTCTAATACAGCCATTGCTTCATTTACATCATTAGATTGATCTTCAGTACTTAGTTCTTTTTTTTTTTTTTTGTTTTTTTTATGATCTATGATATTTTGAGCATCAAAATATGCTTGTACCTTAGGGTCATTTGGCATTGACAAAGCAGGAAACTTTTCTGCCAAAACATCTTTCACTGTTTTTTCCAATTTTGGTTTATCTTTTGGTTGCATGTGTTTGATTAAACGAAGTAAATTTTCTATAAATGAATCAGAAAATTCTGCTCCATTTTTTAAAAGGATTGCTTTGAAACTTTCAAAAGTATTGTTTTTTTCTGACAATGCAATTATAAATTCAGCTACAAAACAGAAATTTATTTAAAACACACTTATTAATTACCTAATATTAAATAAAAATTAATATAATTATATTTAAATATTATTAAGTGTTTTTATTTCTTACCTAAATCCTTATCATTTATACCAAGATGGTTTTCTAATTCTGTGCATATTTTTGAAACTAAAGACAGATGCTCTAATTTTTGAAGTTCATCCATTTCATAAATTATATTTTTAAGCTTGCTTCACAAATTATTTAATTTCGTATTTAAAAATTTTCAATTGTAAGTTCACTATGCTTTGAAACCACAAAAAGTCGTGGCACTAGAATTTTTATTGCAAACTCGAAAACAAATAATACTTTTAAAAATTTGAAATTACAGAAAGCAAAATCATTATAAGATTTTAATATTTAAAAATAATTAAAACATTTACATGAATAAATAAATGATTTTTTTTTTAATTAAGTACAAAGTACGAAAAACTTTTTGCTTTCACATTTCTTTATTAAATGTTAAATAAAATAGAGCTACTAAAAGTTTTTCGATTTTCCTGATAAATTAAAATTTTTTATTGTTTCTATTATCTCCAGCTATTTGCTAAAAAAAAAAAAAAAAAAAAAAAAAAAAACTAATTATTATATTCCTTTTTTTAAATTAAATTTCCTAAACTGTTCATATATACATATTTGAAAATGTGCATATGTACGTAATAAAATTACGAATTACGTACATATAGCTAACTCAACATGAAAATAAAGCGCGAATTTAATAGTAGTAAAATAATAGTAAAAAAATACTGTCTTATTTTCTATCTTTGAATTTATATCTCATCACTAAGTTATTAGGCATTACAAAATAAAATTAAGTTTTTAATTATATATAAATTATAATATGGGAGTTATTTATATAGTATTAAAATTTTAAGTAATTTGTGCTACTTTACATACTGAATTTTTTAAAAATGTAAAATTTCTTAAAATATACTTTTATTTAAAAAAAAATTTTAATTTACTGTACATCACACTCTAATAAATAAATAAAATATTATATTTATGCAGTTACAGTTTTATACAATTATAAATATGTATAATTTATATTGTCTAATTAGAAAATTTTTTGTTTAATTGAAAATTAAATATTCGATATTTTAAACGAAACACAGCACACAATGTTCTTTACTGTATTACTAAAAAAAATTACCCTCTTGGAGGAAGTTTAAAGATGTAGAATAGAAAAATTATAATACTGAAGAAAAATAGCATATCGTTATTCGAATACCATAAATATTTTATAACTTTGATATTAAGTTGATTGCAATTTTTAATTATAAATTATTTAAATAAATATATGTTTAGTTTTACAATATAAATTATTAATTTTTACTATACATACATATTTTGTTCTATACTATAAGGTTTTAATTAAAAGTATAACAATTAACAAAGTTTTGAAAAATTACATAAATTATTTTGATATTTCAACAAAAGAAAAATTTTATACACAAAACCTATGAAAACTTCAAAAGTTAGGGTGTCAATCAACAATTATAATTATACACTTAATAAATCAGTGTTCGAATAAAAACATAAGTTATTATTTAGTTAATATAAACTTGTTTTCTTCATAATCCTAAAAAATTCTTCTTGATTTACTTCACCATCTCCGTCTCTATCAGCTTCGTCAATCATTTCTTGCAATTCTTCATCTGTTAAATTTTCCCCCAGTTCTTTAGCTACTCTTTTAATATTTTTAAAAGATATTTTTCCTGTGTCATCATCATCAAATAATCTAAATGCTTTTAATATTTCCTCTTTAGTATCTTTATCAGCCATTTTAATAGTCATTAAATTTAAAAATTCTTCATAAGACAATTTCCCTGATCCATCTTTATCGACATCAGCAATCATTTTTTTAATTTCTTCTTTTTTAGGCTCAAAACCAAGAGCCCTCATAGCAACCTTAAGTTCTTTTGTATCAATTTTACCAGTGCCTTCTGTATCAAATAAATCAAAAGCATCTTTTATATCAACTTTTTGTTCTTCAGTTAATTCAAATTTTGGTCCTGATGATTTTTTTCTAACAGTGGCTGCAGCTGCTTTGCGAAATCCAGTCGCCTTAATTTAGACAAATAATTTAATTGTATTAAAAGAAAACATTAAAAAAACAATAAAAAGAAATTTATAAAAAGCTTATACTGAAGTAAGTTAGAATGTCTTTTAAGACAATAATAAAAAATATAAATTTATAATTTTACACTTACCATTGTAATTCTCAATGTAATATAATTTGTTTGTAAACAATATGAAAGCTTAATAAATATTCGGTTGATTGTCTTTTGTCGTGGAAATAGATTGAAAAATTCTAAATCGCACTTAAAATCACAGTTTTTTTCTAAGCAGTATTAAGGTAGTAACTTTAAAATTTTGTTTTTACACTTAATCTTTTTAAATGTTATCTTTAACGTCTTACTTATTTTGAAAAAAAAGAAATTTCTTTTTCTTTACACAATTTACAACATATTAAAAACTTATTTTTACTTTTTTCTTTATTTCACTTTCAAAGTTTTACATTTGCTGTTTTAATACCTTTTTTTTTTACCCTATTTAAGATAACGTTTAATTTTTTTATTTTTTATCTTATAACTAATATTTTAAGTTTGCAAATAATTTTTGTTTAAATTTTTCCCCCTAATTTTCTGCCCATACGTTTTAATATAATTAAATTAAATTATTAAAAAGCAGATGGTTAAGTTTTTTCGGTTATGAAATCTTACAGTATTCTTAATAATTGGGAAACAATTTTAGAATCTTTATAATTGTTTATTTTATCAATAAATTTATAATAATTATTGATTAAAATTGAATTTAAATTTTTGTTTATAAACTGTATTGTTATTGCTTATTTATGTGTATAAATTATTAGATAAAGTTTACCACACGGCGCATTTAAAAAGATTAGACAATTTTTATTGTGGTTAAAAATTTTTTTTTTTTTTTTTAAATTTCCTATGACGAAAACAAAACCTCAAATTGAACTTCATTATTGCACGGTTGACCTGTAATTTTAATCAATATTAATATCTTTCTGTATCATTTACATAAAAAAAAAAATTTTCAGGGCTGCATTAATAAAAAATTAAAACTGAGGAGAAAAAAAATTTTAATTCATTAATTTTTTTTTTTTATATAATTAAATTGCTGACGTGACTATTTTTAATAAAAACTTTTTACAATGTTTTATTTTTATACTTTTGTACTTATTCAAATTTCAGGATTGAAAAAAAAACATTTTTTTTTATTATGGTAAGTATTATGATAAAAATTTGAAAGCCCTGCATCGTTGTGGTTTCAACATTTAAATTATTCTATGACATATATAAAATTTCAGCGCGCAAATAGATAGCAACAAGAAACTATGCATCCCGCGTATTATATCGTTTTCGGAATTGTGTTCGTTAAAATTGGTTTTGTGAATGGTGGTTTAATAAATAAAGAATATATTGAACGGGGAGCTGTGATTTCAAATGAAAGGAATGAAGAAGCCACGCCAACATATACAAATAATAAAAAATATTTAATACCTGACGATCGAGAAGCAAACAATTACGATGATGTTGTCATAGAGATACAAAATTTAAGATTTAAAAGAAGTAATTTTTCACTATTAGGTTCTTTGCAAACCGTTCCTAATAAATTATATTCTAAAATATCAGAGTCGTTGAAAAAAAATGTAAATAAAGCAAAAGCATTAGCTGGAATATTACAATCAGCAGCACAAAATAAAAATGACAACGAAACTTGTGAAAATAAAGACAATGATATGACAAATACATGTACTAACATGTCTCCTGAAACAAATACCACTACTACTACTACTACTATCATTAATGTCAATATTGAAGGAAACAATACATTACATGCTGAAAAAAATGATATTGTTCATAATGGGACTGAAATAAATGCTGAAAATAATATTGTGTCTAATTTAAACCACACAATACAAAATAATAACAAAACAGAACTAAATAATGTAAATGGTGGTTTGCCAGTTAATGAAAATCAAACAACACTCATTGACCAGGAAAATTCAGAAAAAAACAAACATGAAGGAAATAGTAACCATACAGTTATGGAAGGACATGAAAACGAATCAATAAATCAAATTAATATTGAAAAAACAAAAGGATCAGAGGAAAAAATTAATGAAAATGAAAAACCTAATGTCGAACAGGAAATTCATTCTGTTAATAATTCAAAAACGGTTGAAATCGATAGTGAACTTACTAGAATTTTGCAACAAAAAGTTTTTTTTAAGGATGGTAATGAAACTCTCGAGTCTTTATTGAAAAAAACAATGGAAGAGGAAATGGAAAAAAGAAATACGACTACATCTTCTCCAAGAACAATACATGAAACCCTAAATTCAATTCCTCCGAGAATTAATAGCGAAACATTTGAAAAAGGAGAACCGGAAATGAGTAATAATGTAACTCATTCGACGGAAAAGAGTTTATTAGAGAAAGAAAATACAGAAAAATACGATTTAGTCGATAAAAATAATTTTGTTAATGATATTAATATAACAACAAACACGAGCTCGTATAAAAATGAAGAAAATAAATCAATCGAAACGTCTACTTTTCCAGGAGATGTGAATAATAATAATAATTTAACCGTTATTAATAACTCAACAATATCAGATAAAATGAAGGATTTATTAAATAAAATTAACGAAACTATCGGTACCACAAACACATTTCCACAAACTCACATTACATTTAAAAATGATGAAGGAGCGACAACAGTTTCAAGTTTTGACAAAAATCCATCACCAAACAAGGAACAAAATGCCGCCATATTTTTGCAAACGGATACGTGGAATTGCACTTATTCAAATTTACATTTAAACATAGAAAATAGATCGTTGGAATGTAACAAAACTTTATGTGTTTTTGAAAACGCCACAACTAATTCTTCTCAATGGTTATGCGGTGATAAAAAATGTATTTTACAAAATTTTGATATTAATAATCAAAAAATTTTTCACAATAATAATAATAATAATAAAATTATTCAATGTTCTTTAGATGGTCGAACATTAATAAAAGCTCCAATGAAGTGCGCAGCAGGTGAACAATTAATTAATTCAAAATGTCGTAAAGTGTATGGCATTTAAAAAAACAAATTTAAATTTTAATAAAAAAATAAATAAATAAATATTAAATAGTTAATTAAGCTATAATACTGATCATTTATACTACTACTACTAATTAATATAAGTAGAATAATAAAATAAAAGTCATATATCATTTCATTAATTTTTTTTTTTTTTTTTTTTACAAAAAATTAACCTAATAATATTTATTTCTATGAAAATTAAAATAATAATAATAATAATAATAATAATAATAATAATAATAATAATAATAATAATTAAAATAAAAAGTCTATAAAGTTTTGAAAAATCGAAATTTAAAAAAAAAAAATTCATATGTTTTGTTTTATTTAATTTTTTTAATAATAATATTAATAAAACTAAATACATTTTTCAATATATATATATATATGTGTATGTATATATATATATGAATAAAGCCACAAAATTATTCTTTTCCTATAAATTGAATTTTTCGAATTATTATTATTAATAATAATTATATATATTAAATTAATCAGCTAAATTTCACACTAAAATTAATCTAAAAAAAAAAAAAAAAAGATAAAAAATTATTTTTTTTACAAATTTACGAATATTATTCAAATTTTACAAAAATATGTTCAAGATAAGATTATATTGATGGGGGGGAGGTGGGAGGGGGGGAAAGTTATGAAAACCAATGAACCGAAACAGAAGATTAAATTCGCTAAAAAAAAAAAATAAACAAAATGTATAACTTTGGTTTACAATAGACTGTTATTTTTTAATAGATTTTCATACAACTATTATACAATTTTTTTTTTTTTTTTTAAATTATTGGTAAAATTAATATTATTAATTGTATTAATTTTTTTTTTTTTTAAATACAAATTTTTTTTTTTTAAAGGCGGTAATGCGAAAAGAAACGTGATAGATAAATGCTATTATTATTATTATTATTATTATTGATGACACAAAAACATTTTCTCGGAATAATTTTTTCTCAAATTAATTATCTAAACATAAATAAATAATTACGAGTCGTTTGAAAATCCAGGGATAAAAATATAATCAGTGCAATATTCAAAATAAATAATTTAATTAATTTGCAACATAATTTATTTAATTAAACAAAATTAAATAATTATTTGTTGTACGCTAATTAATTCGTTTCCAATTTCGCATTACCGGAACAAAAGAAAAGAAAATAATAAATATTATTTTTAATTTAATATATTTTACAAATAATCAGCAACCGTTGCAGCAAATAATGTATTTCATTTTTAAATTATTACTGGAAATCTCATGTTGATAATATAATTATTATACCTTTTACTCCATTGTTTTTTTTTCTATCTCTCAATAAATATAAGGATTATTAATTTTTGATAAAGTCACACGGTAGGAAATAGGAAATACCTGTAATAAAATGAATGGTGATTTTACGTTGACTCCAATGAAGTCGAAAAATAATTTTTTAAACTTTACCTATCCCGGCAAAAGAACGGTGCTAGTGCATGGCGCCGGCACTCTGAGCAAGGGAGGAACTGCTAGCGCTAAGCGTCGAAGATAGATCGCTGTAGCTAAATTGAGGAAAATAAGGTTGATTTTGGTCTAATTCTTCTGCTATGGTATTAAGGGGACCCGGATTTTCAGGAGGTGTGAGTTCCACACTTTCTCCAGTGAATTCCGAGTCAAAGTATCGAGTGTCAGTATCATCCGTCACTTGCGGCTTAAAAGGCGGAGTGATCTGAAAAATTGTTTTGTTACTAGTAAAAGTAAGTTATTAAAAATTATGTTTGGCATATGAAAAATCCCACTCACTTTTTTTTGAACAAGATCTACCCAATTAACAGAAGCAAAAAAAGGATGGTTCATAATTTCTCTAGCATCATCTACACCACCACCAAGTCGTTTTTGTGGATTTTTAATCAATAATCCCGCTAAAACACTTCTAGCCTCTGCGCTAATTGTACGTGGAAACTTGACCTGAACAAAACAAAGTCGTCTTAAAATAAAAATAAATTTTTTTTGTTGATTTTGAAAAATTTTTTTTTGCGTAAACTCACGTCTTCCATAAGAATTAATGCAAATAATTTATCGTGATCTTTATTAAAGAAAGGCAATCTACCGCACATCATTTCATACATGACGACTCCTACTCCCCACCAGTCTACGGCCCTTCCATAGTCGTTGTCTTCCAGGACTTCAGGAGCCAAATATTCTGGTGTACCACAAAAAGTTTTGGTTGTACGACCATAAGTTATATCTTCTTTACAAAGACCAAAATCTGCTATTTTTATATGACCTGTGTTATCGAGTAATAAATTTTCTAACTAAAAATACAAAAAATAATTATAAGGCTTAAGTTAAAATACAAAGTATACTATATTTTATTTGTGAATGTATAAAATTAAATTTTCTATATACCTTTAAATCTCTGTAAATGATTCCTTGTTCATGTAGGTAACCCAGAGCAGAAATAATTTCAGCTCCATAAAATCTGGTTCTTTCTTCTCCGAATAATCTTTCACGAGACAAATGAAAGAAAAGTTCACCACCATTTACGTATTCCATTACAAAACATAATCTATCAGCTGTTTGAAATGCATATTTTAACGACTGAAATAAAGGATAGTAATTTATCTATGAAATTTATTTAAATTAAAATTGATAATGCCTTCTTTTTTTGTTAATTATGATAACACTATTTCATAATTCAAAAAAAAAAACAAGTAATATGTCACTTACAATTAAAAAAGGATGATTTGTAGTTCTTAGAACTCTGTTTTCTGTCAAAGTATGAGCTACTTCATCCTTTTCAATGATAACTTCTTTTTTTAAAATTTTAATGGCATATAAATGCCCAGTAGCTTTTTCTCTGCATAAAATGACTTTCCCAAATGTTCCCTTCCCCAAAACTTTTAAAAATTCAAAATTTTCTAACGTCTGAAACGAATAACTCGACGAATAACTAATGAATAACTACAATGATTAACTTTTAAAAAAGGTAATTTCGTTATTGTACTTACAACTTTTTTCTTTCCAGAGCTTTTAGTATGAGATGTACCTTGCACTGAAAATTTAGCGCTTAAATCATCAATTGTTCCTACATCTATACTTCCATTACCTGAAGCAGAATTGCTCCTCATTTCGACATCAACATCTTCAATTCCGGCTAGTCTTGCAGCTACCAATCTAATGGCTGCAACCCAATCTTCTCTAAAGTCAAAAAATAAAATTTGTAATACTTAATAAGTAATTAAGATTACAAATAATTAAATTTGACAATTGAAAGAGAATTTCAAATTAAGAATAATATACAGCAAAACTCTTAATAATTTTTTGAAAATAAGATTTAGTCATAGTTATTGTAAACAATAACTTAATAAAGAACCTCTCATTGTGAACAGAGATAATGATAAATTATTGATAAGTAAGATAATGAAAAATAAAAAATAATTTTTAATTTTACCTCTCTTTTTCAGTCTCAACATGAAAAGTTCTTTCAATAACAGTAGTCATTTGAAGGCCTCTAATAATAAATGTATAAGGCTTAGGCCGATCCACAGACATAATTTGACAACCTTTTACTGTAAAATTATTTAATGGATCTGAATAAGCTCCAACACTTTCAGGTTTGTTTTTAAAACCTACAAGGCTGCCATCATCAAATAAAATAAAATATCGTGATCTCCAGTTTTTGATGTGTTCACCTAAACAAATAAAATATAATATATATTTTCTATTTATAAACAAGAATATGCCATTATAATCCATTGTTACCTCTTTTAAACAACCATCCTTCTTTAATTATATTTGCAGGAGGCAAATCTGCTGCACTACCAGCCCTTGGCAAGGTACTGGAAGATTCAGCCATTTTCCAAATAAAAAATCAAAAAATGTGGTAATTTACTGAATCTGAAATCATTTATTTAATAAAAATAAATCATAATCAAAAACAATTTAATAAAAAAAATTAAAATAAAACGTATTTCAAAAAATATATATTCAATGTAATATTCAATAAAGGGTAAAAAATTTACAAATTAAGGAAAAGCTAAATGTTGGAAAAATTTAAGGCACGGGAATTTTAACACAAAATCAAACTCGTTAAATCAAATTTTAAAAAATTTTGAAAATAAATAAATAAAACTCATTGAATATATATTTTAATTGTGAGGAACGCATTGTTATGGTTAATGAACATGAATCAAGTGTCTAGGCCAATGTTGCACAATCCGCAGAATGCTTACCACCCAAAATCTAGAAAAGTTTGTTCAAGCATCTACCAAAAAAAGAATTGAATCATTGTAATTATTTTTTAACATTTGAACGTACACGCGCAAATAACTTTGAATTATAAAAAATCTAACTAAATAATGTAAAACTAAAAACAAAATTTACTTATTGAAAATTATTATTTCATCATAATAGCGTCCATATTTTTGTTGAATACCAATATTAAAAATTTTTTTTCCCGATTTTTTTATTGTTGGTAATATCTTTGATTTTCAAGGAAATAAAATACTTAAAAATTATTATGGTTTATAAATTGTTATTTATAAAATTTAACACTTTTTTTCCTTAATGTTTTATATAAAATTTACAAAAAAATTTTCAAATATATTTTAAAAATGTTGCAAATCTAAAATAGCCTTATAGAAAATCAAGATTAATTTTAAATAGGTATAGTTTGAGAAATTATAATTTTATAATTTAATTAACTTCAATACAAAAAAATAATTTTTTTTTATTCGTTACAAAATATGAATTTCATAAAAAAAAAAAAATCAAAAAAATTCTATTAATTAAAATAGTAATTAATGAAAAACATTATCTTTAAGATATTTTATATTAAGTAGTTAAAATTAAATGGCGCGAGATGGAAGTAAACCCTTTAAGTGTCATTTTAGTCAAAAGTGACAGCAAAGGAGATCGTTTATTATTCCGGTATCCCTTTTCTAGTGATAAAAAACCTGTCAAAAATCAAAAACTGAATAAAAAAAATCCGTACGCCTTAATTTTTAATGAAGATTTATTGCAACCTTCATCTCTTCTGACTAGTAATGTGGTAAAAGGAAATCTTACAGGTTTGACAGATGAATTGTTAAGTAAATTGTTTGCTGTAAAACCAGAATTATATGAAAGAAAATTTGAACTAAAAATAAATGATGTTCGATTCGTGGGACATCCAACACTATTTCATTCTGGCTTGGATAGGTATAGTATTAGAAATTTTAATATAGTTTTAGTTGTTTTGAATATTATTCAGAAAAAATTTTTATTCAATTAATTATCCCTACTATATTAGAGATTTAAAATATATTATTTCATTTTAGCAGGAATGATAGAAGTATTGGAAACATTCAGTCTGTAAATCATTCTGATATACCATCTGCTATCCTTATAAATACAGTTTTTGCACTTCATTCATATGCTAGTCACTCTATTGTAAAGTGTTATTATGATCTTAGTAAAAGAATCGGAACAGCTTTAAAGCATGAAGAAAAAAGATGTTGTTATGTTACAAATCAAACAAAAGTAATGATAGCAGCTCATGATGAAATTGCTCAAAGGTGCCTAATATTAAAATAATGCAATAAAATGTAATAAAATATGTATATAAAGGTGCATAAAAAATTGCCAAAATTAATTTTAAAATTTTGGTTAAAAATTTATTTACATTCTTCGATAAATTAAAAAAATAAATGACTATCTTTTACAGTTGATTATATTGTTGTAATTTTTTAGAATTGCCGATACTACGGATGGAAATTGCGAGTCTCCATTTGAGTTAATACTTTGTCGCAGTAGTTTGGCCAAAGATCTCAAAAAAGTCTATGATAATTTAATCAGTACAGGTTTAGTACACATACGTATTAACAAATGGATTGAAGTTTCTTTTTGCTTACCTCAAAAAGTTCATCAAATTTCTCCTGTAAAAAGAGGTTTTCTTGTTGAACCAAATGTGATTGATAAGTGAGTCTTAAAATTTTATTTTTGCAAAAAATTAAAGTAATCAAAATAAGTAATCTATTATCAATTATTGTATGGTTTATTTTTTTATAAACTCAAACTGAGGTTACACAAATAATCATGATTTTATTTTAGGTGCCTTGAATCGATTAGACCATATCATGGATTGCTTTTGCTTGTTGATCCCATTGAACTTTTTGAATCATCACCTCCTGATTCATCTCCTGCTTTACTTCGTTTAATTCAGTTTTATTCTCCTTTAAAAAGCTTACAAGCTTTAGCAGCTGATGCCGATATTACCTTGATGCATGTTTTTCAACTAACTGGACATATGGTGTATTGGGCTCAAGCTATGGTTATTTACCCCATATGTGAAAATAATATATATGTGGTAGCTCCTGAAGCTCCAACCCATGCTTCATCTTCCCTTGTAGAAAGGTTTAATGAAAAATTTCCTGGTGAAAATTTGTTGCAGGTGAAGAATTTTTAATTGCTGTATATATTCGAAAATTGATATTAAAAAAATAAAAATATTCATTTTTAAAGTTGAAAACACCTTTTATATTTTTTGAACTAAATTTTTAATTACAGTTAATGAGTGAATTTTCTCTTCCTACATCATTAAGTCAAAAATTGACACCTTTGGTTCCCCAACTTCAACAGAGGCAATTAATTCAAATGATTGCTTGGATGTTGCAGCACAGACTTTTATTTCAATTACATACTTATATTCATTTTATGCCTGGTTCTAATGGACAACCTACAAAATTTAACACAAAAGGAAATTTAGAATTGGAATCTAAAAATCAAAAATCTAAGCTAAATACTTCTTACAGTGACAGCAACATATTTCAGCATATTTTTGGAAATGAAAATGATCAATACAAAATGGTAAACTTGCCTCCTAGAATTATTTTAACTATATTTTTGTTTCCTATTCATTATTATTTTTAATATAAATTTTATTTTAGCAATCAGATAACTTTTCTTTAAATCATGAAGAAGAGAAATCTAGTATTGTAAAAAAATTATTAATTGAATATTTTAATCAAGAAGAAAGAGACGCCATTTGCAGTGTACCAGCTTCCTCTAATTCGGATGATTTGTATTTATTAATATCCATGTTTGCTAAAGGATATTTAAGTGGTAAACACCACATAGAAGAAATCATGTATTCAATGAATATAAAAAGATGTCACTTACTTCAGATATTTGACAAATTTAAAGATATTTTAGTAACTTGTGAAATGGAAGATCCAGCTATTAGTATTTTTTACTCTCGACATTTGTGCTAAAACAAATTCATTGATAATTGACATTAATTATGTTTTTAATTTAGGAAAAATTAACAAACTTAACTAATCAGTGTCCTAAATTGCTATTATTAAGTTACTTTACCATTCATTTATTTTGTGATAAAAAAAGAATTGAAAATATAAATGAGGTTTTTTGAGATAACTCATTGTGTGTTTTAATAAAACTACTAAAATCTCATTTTTCATTATTATTTTAAAAACCAGTTTAGTGCAAGTTAAATCAAATTTATGTAAGTATTACAATATGCTAAATGAAATTATTTAGCTAATGATCTGTTAATTAATTATTACTTACGAAAAGAAAATTAATATTTGTAAATTTCAAAAAAAGATATTACTATAAAAGCAAATCATATTGATTTAAATTAGAAAACATTTAAAATACTTTTTTTATTGGTTTGCATATTAAAAAGTTTTTAAAAAATTTATTTATTCTTTTTTTTATAGTTTTCTCGATTGTTTTTTTTTTTTGCTGACTGTCAATAGTATAATTTATATACAATTATGAAATAAATATTGGTTATTGCAATATCTACTGTTATTGACAGAAAATAATAATTAATTTTAATATTAGATCATAAAAATGCTGACATTAATCGTATGAAGAATAATAACTTTAAAAATGAGTCTAATTTACACTATAATTTTTTTGAAGTTTAAATAAGTGCAAACTCACTTGGTCTGCAGTTTTTTTTAATATGTTAACAATTAATTCGGTGAACATAATAAAAAATAATTATAAAGTTTTAATGATTGAAATCTCAAAAATACAGTAAATCAAAAATTATTTATTTAGAGAAACAATTTTTAAAAAAATAAAGTATAATCGCAATTTTTTTCATTACAAGGTAGATAAAATAAAATAAAAGTCATTAAAAAATTTTAGTTTAATTTTTATTAAGTGTAAATAAAATTTAATAAAAAAGATAAAAAGGCAAAAAATTTTTTTAAATTTTATTTTGAACGGTTAAAAAACTTTTGACACCAACACAACAATAATTTTTTGAATCACAATTCATTCATTCATTATAACATAAAATAAATAAATAAATAAATTTTTTAAAATTAAAAATACAATTATTACAGCAACAATAATAAAAACAATTTTTAATAAAAATATTTATTTTAAAAATATCGAAAAAAAATGCGTGCATGACTAATGTTGTAAGTAATTAATGACGTCATGAATTCGGCTTCATCTTCTTCGTAAACGGTTCCAAAGTCAGGAGGGTTTGATTCGCGTGGCGAGGTGTATCGCCCTGCCTCGATTATTTTTGTCGTGTTTGATAAATATCGATCAAAATTGTTTTGTTTTATAGTGTTGTGATAAATCTAAAATATGGTTGATTATATTGGAAATAATATAGACCATCAATATGGCGACGGATACATGGAGCAAGAAGAAGAATGGGAAAGAGAGGGATTACTCGACCCGGCGTGGGAAAAGCAACAGAAAAAGGTCCGTTATTTTTTCCCATTAATTTTTTTTCTTTTTACCAAAGTTGATGCAATTATTTTCATTACCCTTCACATTTTTAACATAATGTTCGAATTCATTTTAATTCCTTTTTTAAATTATTTTATATACTTCGTGGGTTTAAGTTTGTTTAAAAAATAGTTGGTATTGAAAAGCGGTTAATAGAAAAATTTTCAATCTTTTTTCTCAGACACCATTTTCCAATTTCTACATTTAAAAATTCCTTTTTTTTTTTTTTTTTTAAAAAACTTCAAAATGTAGTATTTTATAATTCTAACATCTTTTTCATAAACATTTTTAAGAATAACTTATATCAAAAATACAATTTATATGAAAATTGATAGCCATGATTTATAATAAGAATGCATGGGTACAATTTCTATAATATAATAAATTTTTTAATTGATAGTTATAACATGCTTTAAGTATATTAAATCAAATAATGTACACTAGTAATTGATGTACATAACATTTTATTTAAAAAACAGCAGTCCCCTATAGTTAATTTGTATAAAATAATAATAACTCCATGATATTTAAAATTATAGTCATTTTAATGATTTCTATTTAAAAAAATTTATTTTATGACAAAGCACTAAATTTTTATTTTATTATTATGCAAATCATTAAATTTATCAATATTAATATTTTAATATCTTTTTTTAGTTATTAAATAGTTTTAAAATTTAAAAAAAAAACAATAGTAGCTATTATATGCATATAGTTTAGCATAAATTTTAGATTTTGAATTTTTTATCGTATGATGACATTTATTTTTTTCCACATATTAACATTATGTAATTTGATTCTTATATATCTTTCTGATTTAAAAAAGGAAATTAATAATTAAATTAGAAAATTATTTAACAGTAAAGTAACATGGTTACCTTTAATCTTATCATTTGGAAATTTCAACTTAGAAAAAAAATAGATAAATTTATTGAATTACTTCACACACACACATATTTTAATATTTATTCAATAAAAATATGTATGAGTCCATACATAACACCAATAACATTTTTTCAAAGTATAATTCCATTTAGGGGTTTGAAATTACATCCCTTCGATTGTATTTACCCTTATTTTGAAGAATGATCGACTGAAATTTAAATATATATATAAAAATATTTTATTTCCCAATAATGAAAACACATTTAAATTTAATTTTTAAAAAAATATTGAAAATATGCAAAATTAAAGCAAATTATTCATTAATTCCTTTTTAATGACACAGTCATTTAAATGAAAAAAATTTTTTTCACATTGGCTAATGGCTTTATAAGGATAAAAAAAAAAAAAAAGTATAATGAAAACACTTATTTAATAGATCGAATCGTTTTTTTTTTGTTTGTTATTCTTATTGTATTCCTAGTACGTTAAATAAAAGTCTTGTACAGTGAAATACACTTTTGACAAAAAAAAAAACAAAATGTATTTTTAGCCATTTCTTTCCTTGTGAAATAGTTACTTTAGAAATTATTTTTTTAAAAAAATAATCCCGCTTTTGAGACTAGCTTATTTCTTTGTATTCTGTCATTAATATTTTTTTTTTTTAATATTCCTTATTGAAATTAGACCTTTTTATAAAAGTAAAAAAAAAAACTGCCCTCAGTGAAAGAATTGAAATTGAAATCATTTATTTACTAATCTTTGATTAAATAATTTTATTATAAATTCAAATTATTTGCTTCAATAATAATAATAATAATAACAATATTTTTCTTAATTATATTGATGCATTTAAAAAAAAATTTTTTTCATTAACTATTATTAAGTATTTTTTTTTTTTTATCATTGCTTCCTGTTTAACAAAAAAAAAAAAGAAAAAAAAATATTAAAATTTTATCTTATTGGCCTAACTGTGACTGCTGTTGATTTATTTTACTTTACTTATTTTAAAAATTAAAGAAAAAAAAAATTAAGTTTTAATTACTTAAAGTAAGTTTAAAAAAAAATGTGCAATTTTTTGAATTGTAATCGTTTTTTAAAATTTCTCTAATTTTTTTTTGTCGTCGTAAATATTTTTACAAAATATATTTTTTCACACATAATTAATAACAATTATGCAATTGGTTCAAGTTTTCAAATAACATTATTTATTTATTTATTAAATTTTTCTTGATATTTCATTCATGACAGTCCATTGATTTATACGTGTGTCAAATACGTTATAATGAAAAATATCATTTGTTGAGAAAAATAAATATTTTAAAAATATTTAATATATTTGGAGTAAAACAAGGTTGGTCTCTTTAGAAAATCCAAAAAAAAATTTTTTTTAAATTAAAACAATGTCATACTTTCACTTTATTTATTATTTTGAATGATTAAAGTATTTTTTTTAAAAGATCAATTAATTTTAAGCTCTATTTAATATATTTAATATACGTCAGACACGTCATAACTATTACGTCTATACTATTTATATAATTTCTTTATTGTAAATTTTTTTTTTTTTTTTTTACAAAACATTGTTTTTAATTTTTTTTATTACAATTTCGAAAGAGTTTTTAAAAATATGAAATTACATTTGAATTATAAAAAAATCAAAAAAAAAAAAATCAAATCCAATCATTTATGTATATGTTAACATATAGTAAGTTAAAATTATTTATTTGAAGTTTTTTTTGTAAAATAATCTATTATTAAATTTTTGATTCAAAGCCACAGAAATATATATATAAAAGAAATTTATGAACAATAAAATTTTTAGGGATTGACCTGTTCTACTGACATATTTTATATCAAAAATAAATCGTTACCCATTTCACAAAAGAAACTTTTTTTTTTTTTTTTTTTTCACTACAGCATACATAATTTCGATATTGCCCAATATTTTTATTTTTAATTCTAATTTTAATTTTTCAAAAATAAA